CTGTCAAACGATTAATTGCGATTAATCGCATCCAAAATAAAAGTTTTTGTTTACATAATATATGTTTGCATACTGTGTATAGTTATTATGTATATATAAATACAGAAAACACACATACAGTATACATTTTGAAAATATTTACATGTATATACATTTATATATTTATATTCTTATATTTCTTATATTTTATATTATATATAAATATATTTAATATATAAACAACATATTTTTCTTAAATATATACATGTATGTGTTTGTATTTATAGGCCTATATACATAATAAATATACACAGCACACACGCATATATTATGTAAACAAAACCTTTTATTTTGGATGCGATTAATCGCGATTAATCATTTGACAGCACTAATATATATATATGTCAGGTGACTTTGTTTAATTAAAAAAAAAAGTAAAGGTTTTCTACTTTGTTAGAAAACAAGAGATGGCACATCACACAACATCTGTATTTAAATTACAACACTCATTAACTTTCTGTGTATTTCTCATGAGTCGTTTAAACAGGCAAATAGCTGAATTGTATTTTTATTAGTTAATTTAACCCCTCTGAGCATGTGCTAATAGAGCCTGTTGTCCTGTAAAGTGTCTTTTTGATGATGAGCCACTTTAATTGTCCTGTTGTGTCTGTAAAGGAACTTTGCAAAGAAATGCATCATAAAACCCAGGGCGCAATTATTTCATTATTAGCATCTCATTAAACTATTAAAATACTCCATTTGGAAACCTCCCTCCAGAAACGCCACACACAGAGATTTAAAAAGCCTGGAAACAGGGATACAAAGTTAACTGGTCACAGATAGAGGAAAAGAGCAGCTGAATGGGTTGTGCTCAGTGGTCAAGCTGTGTGGACCCAGCTGGATGCTTTTTATTGTAAGAGTAAAGGACTTAACGGACACATGGAGGGCTTGGCCTGCTCATGGCTTTGTTTTTCTCAGGAGAGGATAGAATTTGCATGATGAACTGGTATATTCATCTTAGAAGTTATTTCGAACCATCTCAATCGGCACCGTCCCGCTTTTCGGGCCTCTGAGCCGAGGGGTATCATTTCTTGGGTTATTTACAGTTTGGCATACATGGCCTTAATTAGAGTGTGGGGTAGAGCGCTGCCTCAGAAGATGTGTTCCAGATGTGGGCTGGAATTCAGAGAGCTTTGTAAAGAAAAGAAACAGTGCTCTGCAGGAGATGCCTAAAGAAACTCGAGTCAGGGAAGACTGTTGAGGGGATTGACAGAGTTGAATTGGTGGGCGGGGGTTTCTGGCACTTTTCAGGGTTAAATATTCATGTGTCTAGGTCTTTAAAAGAATGTAGTCTGATTTGTTCTGGCTGATTCTATTCTGCACCTTAGGTGATTGATCTGATTGAGTGATGGTTAATATTACAGATCTATCACCTGTGATAATGTACTTATGAGTTCGAGCATATGTATCATATCAAATAAAATCAGGAACAACAACAACAAAAACAGGGTTTCTGTTGCTCAAACAGGTAGAGCATGATACCAGCAACACCAAGGTCATGGGTTCAGTTCCAAGGGAATGCAAAACCTGTATACCTTGAATGCAAGTGTCTGCCAAATGCATACTGTAAATGTTTAAAGGTGGGGTAAGCGATTTTTCAAAAACACTTTAGAAAACTGATTCGGGCCGAATAGCAAAACAAACTTGTAGCCAATCAGCAGTAAGGGGCG